TTCTCGAAGAGAGGGGGGGGGGGGAGGTATGCCTGTTACGACTCGGTTCCATTAGTTGCGCCCGAATAGTTTCGACTGTTCGCTTTTCGGTATCCGCTGCCGTCGCGGCTCTACTTCTGGAGTGGAGCTGCCTGATACCGCACATGACGTAAGATATCCCACCCCCTTGATCGGTTTTCAACGCTCGATTGTTCGGCACCAGAAAGAGTGATGGCGGAGTTGAACCCGTCTCACCGGGGACTCTCGGAATGCGCATCACAGAATATGACATCGCCTTCTTCGTCGTGATGTAGTCGCACTTTCAAAATCATCCCAGGGGGTGTGAGATGAGATGTTGTCGCGTCGGCAGACTAATTGTAGACTGCATCTGCCCAGCACTGACGAGGCTTTCATCGAGCGCACCACATGTACTTGTGGGCATGCAGGATATGTTTTGGAAGAAGAGTGTGTAAAACAGACTAGTTGTACAACTTAGACTTGTTCCGGTGTGGTACTTCTCGAAAGGTGTGGACGCTTGACTCGCTGAACAAAATCGGTGACTTCGTTGTGCTGTACACTCCACAGTCAGTGGTAACGGCCGCCGTCTTCCGGAACATTGTCTGATTTCCCTCGGACTATCCTGCCATGTAAATGTTCGCGATTGAGCACCCACTCTCTCAATCTATTGCCGTTTGCATACCCAGACCCGGTGCTAAAGGGCCATGTAAACCTCTACACGCTTGATGCACCTTTCTCCCCCCACGACTCTAGCAGCAGCAGCTGCCGCATCACCCCTCGGTCTCGCATAGCCACCGTTATTCGCAACATGTCGTCCAATCCGGGAGGAGGGGAGGAAGAGAAGGCCAAGGCTGTCGCAGCAGCCGCTGGGGGCGGTGGGGGCGAGGCGACGATCTTCGACAAGATAATCTCGAAAGAAATACCGGCGGATATCATCCACGAGGATGAGCTCTGCCTGGCGTTCAAGGACATTAGCCCACAGGTGAAGAACGCACACCTGGCGACAAGCATGAGCTCGTTTCTCGTCCTGTGCAACGTCGATTCTCATCTCGTCGAGACAGCGGCAGTGGAAGCGATACGCGCCTACCTAGGGTAATTGGTACGACACAAGAGAAAACGTCCCGGATTTATGCAGCAGTTTGATCTCTTTAAACACCGGCACCTGAGAGTACGTTTCATATTTTTTGCTAGGGTCGTCGTGTGAAGGGGTGCGTTATCCTGTGTCGAATACGGTAGGCGCTTGCACGTTTCGGCAGTGCTGCTCGTACATCGAGCACCCCTGCGTGCTTCGCCCGCCGGTTTGACAGTCGCGTGCACTGCATTTTTTCTTTTTGTGGTCGACGCGCACGACATCTCCCGACGCGGCTGCTTTGACCATTCGTTTGTTCCCCCTGTCGCTACCCTACCTGCACACAGGCGCCGGTGCACTTTTTGGTGATCCCGAAGAGCCGCGACGGCCTGACGCAGCTCAGCAAGGCCGTCGAGAGCAACAAGGCGTTGCTCGGTCACCTCATGTTTGTCGCTCAGAAGGTCGCCAAGGAGCAGGTGACGAGCCAGTAGTACACGGCAGCAGCACGGGGCTTGAGACGTACGTCGTTTTTGCTCGCCGTTGGTGTTGGTCAGGATGGACATACGGTTGGCGCAGACTCGGTTGTTTTGCTGCAGCTTGTACGTCCTGTAAGGATAAGTGCCAGAGGGTGTTACATACAAACGATCATCAGGATTCTCACGCAAAGCTTTCAGCACGTTATCTCTTACCTTCAGAATGCGTAACGGGTTTGCCATTTTTAGCCGTTTCCCGTGGGAAAATCACCGTACCGTATCTGGTCACCTTCCCGTTTCGTTACTGTTGTTAAAGCGGCTACAGTAGAGGTCCCTGTTTAAGGCCGGTTGCGCTGTTTAAGCCAGGTGAAACCGCTTGGCACAGATGGAATATGTATTCAAGTTGTCTTCTACTCCTGTACCGTGTGTCCTGCAAAGTGTGACCCACGCGACAGCCGATCGACCAAACCCACCAAACCACTCAACCGCCCTTTTTTGGGGGGAAAACTGCGCATCAACCAGGGTCTCGACGAAGGTTTTCGAGTGGTGGTCAACGATGGGGTGCAGGGCTGTCAAACGGTCTACCATCTACACATCCACGTCATCGTGAGTGCAGGCCGCGGCACAAGGATGACGGTTTCGCATTTTGTTCATCCCCAAGAATTTAAGAAAAGTAGACACCACAGGAGGACGTGACGAACTCCGTTTTCTCAAAATACTACGTAGACTGTTTGTCTTAGGGGGGGGGGGGTTACCGCAAAAAGGGGGCGTTTTGTTTATGGTCGTAGGTCGGGCTATTGCTCCATGGTTTCAGCTGAGGGGATCGTGCACCCACAGCTGAAATGTGTGTGTTGTTTTAACCCGGATTCTCTTGGCCGATCCCCAGCTGATGCGTTCGAGTAATTTTTGTCGTAGCCGATGATGTGCGCAAATTTCTCTGGAGATGCCCAGACACACAGCCTTAATTCCGCCGTCCTCCCGATACACGGGGGCTGGTGCTACTGCTACTGACCCTAGGCCGATATGGTTGCTGACTTTTGGTCACCCTTGCATCTTTCGGTTCTCGCTCGGTCCTGCTTTTCGCGTGTGTACAGGGGGGACGGCAGCTGAAGTGGCCGCCAGGCTAAGCTGCCTGAATTCTCCACTTGCTTCGCGGTGGGGAATCGAAATCGCCGTGACAAGCTTACAAAGGGGCGCCGAGCGGGTCGCCGCTCTCTGCAGTGGAGATGAACTTTCTTCACCTAGATCACTCTCTTGTTTGGTAGATTGCCTAGCGTTGCCGCAGGCTGTGGTCATGCGGTCGGAAGAAAGTCGTACGTATGAGATATATTTCGCTGGGCGCACGTTTGGGCGCGGATTCTTGCCGAGGGGCAGCGTCCGTGGGCGCAACACAAGCAATGGGACCCAGAACGATAGATTTGGCGGCGCACGTCGCGTGCATTTTAGAGAAAACCATTTGTGGCACGCAGTTCGCTGATTGGTAAAAAAAAAAACTGCGGCGGGACTTCAAAAATGGCAAAAAGCAGGGCACGACCAAAGATCCCTGGACAACGGTCAGCGTCATCCACGGTGAAATGACACCCTGTCCCGCTGGTATCCTGGGGAACCGTGTTTTCTGATGATGATCTTTCTGCAAAATCATCATCCTGGCTGACTACGAACGGGGATAGAGATGGATCCTCCGACCGATCGATCTCCGCGTGTCGTCTTATTTTGTTCGGGGATGGAAGTTTTTTTTTTTTATCTTAATCTAGACTGCAAGGCCGGGCGGAGAATGTTGATATTTCTATGCTGCCTCTCGCCCATCATCCTTGCGATGACTGCCCGCCGTCCTTTCAAAATACATTACGGGCACGCAGTTTTATTGTATGCGGGAGAATTCAGGGTCGTGCATACGTCTCGAGTCTCGATCCGCCGAGAGACAAACGAAGAAACGCCAGATGAAGGTTCACACATATCGATGATTGATGGCCCGAGATCGATTTTTCCAAAATTTCGATCCCAGCGGCTGGCCGACTCCGGACGAAGCGGCACGCAGTTCGCTGATTGGTCGAATCGAGCAGTCAGTCTGGACAGTCGACCGACACTTTTTTCTCGACACTGCGCCCGCTTGCTTTGACAGACAATATTTGTGGTGGGTCCCAACATTGTTGCACGATAGAGGCAAAGAGCAATAAGGGATCCATCATGCATACATCGACCACAATGAATGGTGGCTCTTCGTCACGCGACCCAAAACACATACTTCATACAAACTGGGCCAGCCAAGAAGGTCACTATTTTTGTTCTTTGGCGTCTCACGCTCCCGATTAGACGAGTTAAGGCTTGAAATTTGGCAGCTGCTCGTACAAGACAATAGGGGAACCGCAGGTACCAGAACTTTTCGAATCTGAGTTGGTTGAGGTATTACACGATCAGTCGACTGCGTAGTACTCAATACCTCTTGAACTGAAATCAGTACCAAAAAAGGTTTTCAGATCAAGCTGAAATTTGGTGTGCACGTACCTGAGAACAGTGCGAGAGTGAGTGTAGATGGTAGTTATAGGACTCAATTCATCTTCCATCAGAAGTTATGGCCTCGTAAAGATTCACATACAATAAACAAGATAGCTGAGGGAATATGAGGATATCACGATTTACACCACGATTTTCACGAGTTGGGAATCTGAAGTTTTGGCATGTGGTCGGTACTAGTACAACCAAGACCTTGACTGGAAGCACCCTCTTTTTTTTTTTCGAGTCCCCCTATATATACAAAAACAGGATCACCATTTGTTCTTCAATAGGGCTACCTCGTGAAAAAAAAAAAGAGTAGGTTGCTTCCTGTCAAGGTCTTGGTTGTACGAATACCGACCACATATCAAAATTTCAGGTTCTAATTCGAAAAAATCGTGGTGTAAATGGTTTTCAACCATTGTGCATGCAACTTGGCTGGCCCAGCTTGTACCTACGGCACACCACCTTTTATAATTTCAAAATTTTCGTCGCAATGGAAGCGATCTTAGAGAAAAGGATTTGTTACACCCAAGCAGGATCAGGGTGGGATGCGGGCAGCGCTCGCCGGCACTTCAAAAGAAGTGCGCGACGGTCATAGTGGGGGGGGTTGAGGATCGGCACTATAGACTACAGGCCGTGGGTTGTTGCTTGAGTGAAAATATTGTATGTAGGTAACACATACACACGCGCCCGCCCTAGTTGGCTCCAACCGTTTCGGGTCAAGAATATTTCATCGATATAGATGAACGTATTGTGCAATTTCTTCGTGAGGGTACCACGTGTGCAAATCCATTACTATCCCCTGGGATCGAAAGTTCATCGACTAGCAACGCCGGAATCGAACACGCAATGTCTGCATTCAGTCCCACACAACCGGCACACTTCCATCCAATCCCCTTCCCCGTGGGGCCGGGAGGGAACACGTACGCTGTCTCTCCGGATGCGCTACTACCCCTGCTCAAAATCTTCAACGACAACGCCTTCCTCGATTTGGTTGGTGGTTCGAGAGTCTCTGACACACCACCGACACCCTCGCAGGTCGCGTTGCAAGCCGCTCGAGTCCAGAAAAGATTGTCAACAAAAGCGTGTAGTGCATATTCCCAGCGAAGCACCACACACGCAAGATCCATCGGTTCCCCGAACCAGAATCCCCAATGACAACGTCTTCGGTTGGCAGACAAGAACGTAATGCCACGCTGCTACCCACCGCCGAGATAACGATTACGGAAACACTTTTTTTCTGAACTTGTAGACTAATCTGCTGGACCTCACCCCGTCGTCCGCATCACATGACCCTCTCACAGGCTGGTACTTGCCATCACCAGGGCAGAGCCGTCCGTCGAATCGCTGGGACAGCTGCACTCAGCCTGCTACCACATCGCGACCTTGAAACGCAGGGAGTATTGTCCACACCAAGGGCTGGCAATCTCTGAAGCCTCTGCAGCACACGTTGCTCGTGCCTGTATGCGAACACCACACCACACAACATCATGCCTGACGTGGGGAACAACTTGTGTTGGTTTCCCTAGTCTACGTCAAGGCTGGGTTGCACCTGACTCGTCGCCAACACTGTGCGAACCATTCACAAAAACAACACGTTTCCTCCACATCAGGGACTCCGCGCATGCATGCGCAACATACACCAATAGTCGAATGTTCAATACACGAAACCTAGAATATCAGTGTTGCAACAGCACTCCTCAAGAGCAGAAACGAAACCACCCACCACACGGCAAAACTTTCCCAACGCCGTCACCACTCCAACACCCCCTACTTACGAGCTGTACCCACGGTGTTCTCCGAGCCCTCGGTGACCCCCGATCCGGTACTGGCCTTCTCGGCCACTTTCTTCGCCATCAGCACCAAGTCTTGGTTGGGGTGATACCGGTACCCAGCCTCTCTCCTTGCCTCGATCTCAAGCCCGTTCGAATAGGCCGGGTAGGAGGTGGTCTTGATGCCGGCGTTGATGTCGAAGGTGTGCCGCCCAACGGTTAGCTTCCCGTCATTGAAGCCGGTAATAGTCCAGGAATAGAATGCGCTCTTCCCCTTGCTCACTTCAGGTTCCCCCGTGGCGATGTCGACGAACGCCCGGTGGTGTCGACCCAGAGGCTTCCGGTACCGCTCGATGTAGACGTCCTTCTTCGCTGCGGCGCCGGGGCCGCGTGGCTTCCCCGCCGACGAGTACGTTGTCCCGAGCTTCCCTGTGGCTGTAAGAGTTGGTTCCGAACGTACGTAGGACAACACCGGGTGGGTGGGTCGGTGTCAGAGCGCACTGCTCGAGTCGAAAAGCGGGAGGAGTAAACCCAAGCGACGGCAAAGAACGGAACAAGCGTTGAAAAAAATACGCAGTCGTACGGAGTCCCGTGGATGGACTGATGTCCTAGAGCGCGTGACGACAATAACTGTGGCGCCTTTCATGATGGAGGCGGCGGCGGCGTTAGCGTTAGAGGTATTCAGGACGGGGCAATCGCACAGATCGAAAGGCGGTGACTACAAGGAGGAGGATTTCATCAGTTTCAAACACTCGCGAGCGATCTCTGCCAACTTATAACGTTGGGGCACAGGGGGGGCGGGGCTGTGGAGGCCACGTGGAGGAGACTGCAAACGGTTGGCGCCAAATATATCCGAAGCGAGATCCAGACTGTAATTGGGACCAACACAAAGACGGCGACAACAACAATCCTCCGCACCGGCATCATTGATTACGTTCGCGAGCACTCGCTGCCAACTTTTACCGTCGGGGGGCACAGGGGGGCGGGGCTGTGGAGGCCACGTGGGCAAGACTGCAAACGGTTGGCGCAACAGCCACACTTGGCATGAATGCATCCAATCGGAAAAGAGCTAGTCTATAGAGACAACGATAAAATCGAGAAAGCAACACATCCTGAAAACTACACGAGAAACAAACAAGAAAAGCGACGCCAGCGAAACAAAGACGGCCAGAAAAAACACCGGCAGCGAAGGCAGCCAGACCTCTCTTACCTCCCTTCTCCCCTGCGCCGACCAGTGCCAGCAGAAACAACAGCAGCAGCAGCAGCAACAGAAGCAGCAGCAACAGCATACGATAGCGACGGAGGTGGCATCAAGGCGACGGGGGTGTCAGCCGGGCAAAACAAGATGATAATCGACTGCGGTTGGGCATTCGACTTGAGACCGCCGGCAAAACCATTCGCGAGCGACCTATGCCAACTTTCAAACGTTGGGGCACAGGGGGCGGCGGGGCTTTGGAGGCTGGATGGACGACACCGCAAAGGGTTAGCGCAAACACGAGCTAGTCTTATGGGGGGAACATTCCGAGACCAATTGTCGGCGATGATTTCAAGCTCGCCAAAGAGGAGCACAAACAAAAGAATAAAAGCAGCAGCTGTGAAGAACACCTTCATAAAGGTTGAAACTCCCCGACGTCTGTCGAGGACGAAACCCTCTTTTTCACAATCGCGTCGACGAAGAGATGTCAAGTGTCTGCTTTTGGTTGCAAAAGACACGGGTTTAAAACCCGCTGCTTACCTAATTTTCTTCCGGAGTACGGAAAAAGAAAAACGGTGGGTGGGCCAAGAAACGATGCACTGTCTATCGAACTCGAAACTTCTGGCAATGCGTGGCGGAAGTGGCGCACCCGCAACACGCACAGAAGATTGTTGGGAAAAAGGTGGTTCTACTCGCCGCCAGCCGGTCGGGTTCCGGTTACCCCAAGAAGACTTTTCTTGCCTAGCAAACAAGAAGAAGCCTCGAAAAAGGGGGGGGTAATGTGGAGAACACCTTCATAAAGGTTGAAACTCCCCAACGTCTATCGAGACGACAACGTCTGTCTAGGACGAAACCCTCTTTTCCACACAGCGAGAAATCGTATATATGGTCTTTGTTCGCGAGATCGACTGTACAAAATACCATCAAGCTCACCAGCAAGAAAAGCAGCAGCAACAACAACCACCACCACCATTGACAGCAACATCAACAACAGCCAATCAACAACATCAATGGGATTTAGCCAGATGGCGGTGAATGTCATCAATAATAGGCGCAGTACGCGGGCGGGGGGCAGATGCGCAACAACAAAACAGCGGCAGGAGCAACACCTACACAAGCGGCAGTATCAACAAGCAGCATATGGACTCACCGTTCTTGACGGCGCGCTTGACCTTTCCGCCCGTTCCGGTCCCGTCATCGACCATAGCGCTTTGGGCTGGTGGTACCTGCCGAAAAGGAACACCAGGGACCAACGCAACGGATAGGTGAATAGTCCAAGGTGAGAGTAGAGCAAGGGGCCGCTAAGTGGGGGGCGCCAACCGAGCTCGGAATGACAAATACAAAATCAACTGCGGTTGGACGTTCGACTTCCGGCACAGCATCACGCGATCACTCGCTACCAAAAGAAGTTGATGCCGCCTACTTAACACCATTCGCAAGCACTCGCTGCCAACTTTTAACCTTGGGGAGCACAGGGGGGCGCGGCTGTGGAGGCCACATGGGCGAGACTGCAAACGGTTGGCGCAACAGCCGCACACTGCATGGATGCATCCAATCGAAAAAGAGCTCTAGAAACAACGAGAAGATCGAGAAAACAACACATCCTGAAACCAGAGTAACACAAAGAGAACAAAAACAAACAAAAAAAAGGACACCAGCAAACAGCAACAACGACAACCGGGCGTACCTCCTATGGTGCCCATGATTTACGTGCTCCATCCACCACCTCGCCATCTCCAAGCAGGAGCCAACCGGCACAGGATTCCTCGAGCGAGCGCGGGAGGGGTGTTCCGAGGAGGGACGCAATCGCAAGAATGACCGCGGTATTGGCGCCCACGAAGTGAAGGGACGCGCTGAGCCCCGATGTTCCACAAGCATCGCCGGCGTGGGTCACCGCAAGAGGGTAGCTGGCGTGCGGCATGTTGGTCACGACGAGGGTTTTGCCAACTCCGTTCCAAGACACAACTCCGACAGAGACGCCTCCGACCGCCCCGATTCCAAAGCTGCCGCGTAGGGTTCGCGCGGCGTATTCGGCGACCACGTCGCTGACGTCCTGGTACGAGTCCGGCCTGAGCCAGGCGGCGTGTCCTCCCTCCCTGGCGCCATGCCGTCCATGGGTCCACACCACCTTTACCCCCCCCCGGCTGCTCCCCCCCCCGGTGTTTTTCATCGGGGTTGGGTTTTCGTCGCTTGGCAACGACGTTGTAAAACAAGCCGCCCCACCGACCGCCCGNTTGTAAAACAAGCCGCCCCCCCCGGTGTTTGTCATCGGGGTTGGGTTTTCGTCGCTTGGCAACGACGTTGTAAAACAAGCCGCCCCACCGACCGCCCGGGCGACCCCCCCTTTCTAAACTTAAGTGGGTTGGCGCTTTTGGCAAAGCGCTGTCAAACACGCCACCCCAAATAATGCCCCCATAGTATGCGCTACCAAAGGCGCGTGACGCATGGATGCGTGGAGTGAGGGTAGCTTACGGAAACCTCACAGGTCGAGTGATGTAGGAGATTACCGGACACATAGACGTGATGAGTGGTTATAGCTGTATACTGAAACCCCAAGGGTTGAGTGAGGTTTGAGATTGCCAGACACATGGACGGGTTGAGTGGGGATAGCTGCATACTGAAACCCCACGGGTTGAGTGTTGTTGGAGCGCCGGACACATAGACGCGTTGAATGAGGATATCTACATACTGAACCTCACAGGTGATTTGTGATGGAGACTGCCGGACACATAGACGTGTTGAGTGGTTATAGCTGTATACTGAAACCCCAAGGGTTGAGTGAGGTTTGAGATTGCCAGACACATGGACGGGTTGAGTGGGGATAGCTGCATACTGAAACCCCACGGGTTGAGTGTTGTTGGAGCGCCGGACACATAGACGCGTTGAATGAGGATATCTACATACTGAACCTCACAGGTGATTTGTGATGGAGACTGCCGGACACATAGACGTGTTGAGTGAGGATAGCTACATACTGAAACCTCACAGATGGGTTGGTTTTGACTTTGCCAGACACATAGACGCGTTGAGTGGGGATAGCTACATACCGAAACCTCACACATGGACTGGTTTTTGAGTTTGCCAGACACATAGACGCGCTGCGTGGGGATAGCTACATACTGAAACCTCACAGATGGGTTGGTTTTGACTTTGCCAGACACATAGACGCGTTGAGTGGGGATAGCTACATACCGAAACCTCACACATGGACTGGTTTTTGAGTTTGCCAGACACATAGACGCGCTGCGTGGGGATAGCTACATACTGAAACCTCACAGATGGGTTGGTTTTGACTTTGCCAGACACATAGACGCGTTGAGTGGGGATAGCTACATACCGAAACCTCACACATGGACTGGTTTTTGAGTTTGCCAGACACATAGACGCGCTCAGTGGGGATAGCTACATACTGAAACCTCACAGGTTAATTTGTATTGGAGATTGCCGGACACCTAGACGTGTTGAGTGAGGATAGCTGCATACTGAAACCTCACAGATAGATTGGTTTTTGAGTTTGCCAGACACATAGACGCGTTGAGTGGGGATAGCTACATACCGAAACCTCACACATGGACTGGTTTTTGAGTTTGCCAGACACATAGACACGCTGACTGGGGACAGCTACATACTGAAACCTCACGAGTTGAGTGATGTTGGATAGTGCCAGACACATGGACGCTTTGAGTGAGGAAAGGCACACACTGAAACCTCACAGATTGATTTGCATTGGAGATTGCCGGACAC